TTTAATTGTTTCAGGTAACAAGGAACGAACATCCTCACGCTCCACGGAAGCAGAAATTTGTTCTTCATCTTGAGAATGTCAACCTCGATGATCATGCTGGCGATGTTCCCAATCTCTAAATAGGATTGAGTAGGCCAACTCTGATGAGGCCGACCCCAATAGCTGGCTGGGGTCGATGATGATTGTTCTACCTCAGCACTATATTGGACACCTTCCTGACCTCGCCATATCCTAGCCAAGGCCAGATCATTATTCTCGATCGCAGACGAAGATGAAGCAGCTATTCTCTTGAAAAAATAAATATAAGAAAAAACGATAAAAAGAGTCTAAGTCGATTCTTACTCAAAAAATCGAAAGGTTGAAGTGCGTGAAGAAAGTCTGGAGAGGCAAACGATTTTTCCGATTGACTTCTTTAAGAGCGCTAAATTTGCAGAAGAGAGTTCGAAAGTGCGGAAATGAGAAAAAAGGAAAAGGAAGGAGGAAGAAGCTGATTTATAGGGGGCCTTCGACCACTCAGATAAACCCACGTGGAACGGAGCTTCAAAATTTGAAAAAACTAGAAAGCACAATCAACGGCTCAGATCAAGGCCACGTCATCCAATGAAAGTTTATCTGCACGCCTTTTCAGGCAATTGGAAATCGAGGCACGCCACATAATAAAAAAACCCTTCAAATGTCATGATTAATGCTTGGGGATGCAAATTGTCTCGAATGACCATGGTAGAGGTGGCCAGTCAACGGGTCCGGGCCCAGCCCGGCCCGGCCCGCCGGGTCGACGGTCCGCTTGGACGAGGCCCGAGCCCGGACCGGAAAAGGGGGCAGTCCGGGACCGGTTCTGGGCCCGGACCCGCCGGTTTTCCGTCGGTTCGGTCCGGTTCCGGAGGTTCCCAGTTTTTTTTTTTTTAAATAAAAAATGTGTTGAGATGTATTACCAGTTTTGATTGATCGGCGGTTCTGCCGGTATAGTATTATTTCGTAGGACTTGCGAAATTCAATTTTATTATGTTAGTTAAACAATATCTTGATTTTCATCAACGTCATCATGCAATCCGACTCCAATACACAGTCTCGAGTAATATATCCGTTCTTTTTGTTAGCGGCCTCAAGCATGTTACTTAGCGGAAGTTGTCTTCCAAGTTATCATCGTTGGCGTACAAGATGTTGATACTATTATCCCACAATTCCATAAGGGTACATACCTTTTCACGCATCACTTGTACTGTTGGATAATGCTATCAAACTAATGTTGCATGTTGATGACTCAACTGCAACTTTATCATTACATTATTTTGCGTTCCTCTGCTCGACGTTAAGTAAGAATTCAAAAGATAACTAAGTATGTATAAACGTTCTATTGTTTGTGTCATACCAGGCGAAATTTAGAATTGAACGCATAATACATAATAAAGAATATTGACATGACATCACAATTTCCTTTTGTTGTTAATGTTTTTGAGTTAATATTTGAACTTTAGAAGATGAACTCAAAACATTAACTTCATTTAGGACAATGATATCATGTCAATATTCTCCATTACATATTATGCTTTCAATGCTAGATTACGCCTGCTATAACACAAACAACAGAAAGCTTATACAGACTTAGTTAACTTTTGAATACGTACTCAATATCGAGAAAAGGGATGCAAAATAATGTTATGGTAAACTTGCAGTTGAGTCATCAACATTTGACATTAGTTTTATATCATTCTCCAACGGTACCAGTTATGCGTGAAAAGGTATGTACCCGTATGGGACTGTGGAATAATAGTATCAACATCTTGCACACCAAAGATGATAACTTGGACAACATCTATTAAGTAACATGCTTGAGGATACTAACAAAAAGAACGGGTATATTACTCCAGACTGTGTATTGGAGTCGGATTATATGATGACGTTGATGAAACTCATGATACTGTTGAATTAATAGGGTTCTTCACTTTAATCTGATACAATATACCGGTAAGCTTACATTCGGTCAACAACACTTCACTTTAATCTGATACAATAATCCAATATTTTTAAAGTTGATAAAAAAAGGACTTGAGCTTAATTGACATTTAATAAGTATAGTATATCTTATGTCAATTAAGGTTCCTACGTACCCCTTATATTGGGAATCAAAGTCCACGTAGTTCTTTTAAGTTTCAATATTCGGCATTCGTTTTTTAAGGTCGTGATTCATTGTGGATTTCAGTTCTAAGAAATTCGAAAAGTTTACAAATTAGAGTTGAAAGCAATAACATTAATTAAACCGATTATGCCACGCACACATTCTCTCATTGTGGATGCTGCTTCTGACTCTCTCATACGCCTACAATACAACAATATAGAGATAGTATACACAAACAAACTTCAACAAACTTCAAGTATTGAAGAATTTGTATGTCGGCCTGTGTCATAGAACTCTAACTGCTATATTGTAGACGTATGCGAGAGTGAGAAGCAGGATCCACAATAGGAGAATGTGGACGTGGCATAATCGATGTAATTGATCTTATTGTTTAAATTTGAGAAAAACAGAAACAATTGCCGTTGGCATCGGTTACAGGGTTCTTAAATGTTCAACAATCATCCAACATTACAAGAAAGCTACAGTCTTTTCCACACACACTAAAACTATTGGATTGTTGTATCAATAATATTTTCAGTGGTGTGTGAAAAAGACTGCAGCTTTCTTGCTATGTTGGAGGACTGTTGAGCATCTAAGAACCCTGTAAACGACGCCAACTGCGATTGTCTCCGTTATAGAACATCCTTCTACTGATGTAATTTAACTTATTTTAATTGATATTTTAACTTAAGGATTAAGGTGCCTACGTATTAGTAATGTGTCAAAAAGTCCAAGTACTTTTTATTAATTAATTACAGCTCAAGAAATTCCAAAAATTGACCAAATAATGATCAAAGCAATAACATCAATTACGCCAATAATGCCACGCACACAATCTCCGTTGTGGAACTTGCGTCGCACTCTCTAATACGTCTAGTCGTCTACAATACAACAATGGAGATTGTGGGCGGGACATTATTGGAATAATTGATATTATTGCCTGAATTTCTGAACAATGTTTTCTAGAGGCAAATTAATTCTTGTTACATTTAGAAGCAAAAAAAAAAAAAAAAAAAAAATGGACTTGAGTTTAATTGACATTTATTAAGTTAAAATATCATATAACTTGACTTTTTTTTTTGTTTTGATAAAAAAATGATATTTTAACTTATAAATGTCAATTAAGTTACCTACGTATCCCTTATATTGGGAATCAAAGTCCACGTAGTTCTTTCGATTTACTTACCTGTACACGAGTAGTTGTCTCTAATAGTCATACTCGTCATCTCCTATTCCGGTTCCACCACTCGTCGTACTCGTAAAATCGAATGCGTCATCGTCATCGTCTGCTTCTTCATCTACGTACATAGCCGTTTGCATCCTTCGTTCGGCCTTTTTCCAATCCATCAGCAGCATTTGTGCTTGTAGATTTTCAGGCGTAAGCCTCGATCGTCGTGCGTCGAGCATATAACCTCCCTCGCTGAAGGCTTGTTCGACCGCAACTGTCGATGCTGGGACGGCGAAAATCTCTTTGGCCATCAAGCAAGGAATAGGATATATGCCTTGCATTCTCGACCACCAGTCCAAGACATCAAAATTTAGTGGCAGACTTGGTTCACGAGCAATCGTAAGTATCAAATTCGACGTTAGGTAGTGATCAAGCTCATAGTATCCAGTTCTCTTTGCCCTTTCAACGCCAACATTCTTGTAGGGATTTAATGATGCCCACCACTCCTGAAAGTTCGAAGCGCCTACTTGACTACCACCGTAAGAAGAAGACCCGCTACTGCTGCCCCCGCCGCCACGAACAAATGTGCTGGGAGGTTCACCTTGTGCAATCGTTGTTTCCCTAAATATATCATACAACAAATTTTTTGCTTGCTCGACGAGCAACAGCACATTAGGTTTTTGACTGTATGTTGGGACATCAGTCGGGATTGGGAGTTCATACATATAATTATAATACATGTTAAGCTGCTCTACCAAGCGAGTTTCACGTACCGAAGGATCTAACAAACATGCAACTAAATGTGTATCAGGAATGAAATAATAATATTTTAACCATTTCTTTAACATTTCCTCAACTAAATAGCCATATTTATTAAAATTCAAGTTATAAAGATCCTTGAAAGCCCACATTATGGCTATAGATTGACTTAACACAAGCTGAGCAGTAGGATAATAAACACCTGAAAGCATATTAGTAGCATTTTGAAATGTTTCTAAAAATTGAATAAGTGCATTACAGTTCTCCCAATCTCTTGTTGACACTCGGACATCACAGTCCTTACGGTTTGAATGGTTAAAAAAATTCTGCAATTGTGTCATAAACGGAATCGTGTCACTCAACATTTTAAATGTTGAGTTCCACCGGTTAGGAATGTCGGGTTGAAATTTTTTAGGTTTCACCCCTTGATCTTTACAAAAACGTCCCCATGCTTTCATTTCATGGGGACGTTTATGTAAATAATTAACAGCGTCCCTAATTGGCGTGACCGAATCTTTAAAAGCATGATAACCAGCTTGTACACAGAGATTTAAGACATGACACATACAACGAATATGAAAAGATCTTCCGCCGCAAATTGGAGTGCAAATATCGGTAAGTTCACGTATAGATGCAGTATTTGCAGTAGCATTATCAAACGAAATGGAAAACACTTTTTTACCTATTTGGTATTTATCCAAAATTTTTGAAATTAAACGAGCAATATTAGAAGCAGTGTGTCGTTCATGAAATGCAACATAAGCAATTAAACGTTTTTGTAAACTCCAATTTTCATCTATCCAATGACAAGTAATTCCCAAATAGAAATTATTTTGCCAATGATCAGACTAGATATCAGCACAAATGGATACTCTATGATTTAAAGATTTAAAAGTTTCTTGCAAAATTACTTTTTTTTCCGCCACTATTTTTTGAATATCGCGAGTAAGAGTAGTACGTGGAACCCGGTGGGCAGCCGGATTCAAAGCCATTTGAGCAAAATGTTCATATAAATCACTATTACCAAAGCTAAACGGAAGAGATGAAGCAGAAACAAATTCAGCTAAATGGCGTCGATGATTTTCATGTGAGTACTGAAATAAAGATGGCGTACCTGTACCAATCGTGGCAGATGCAGCGCTACTATTCGGGAGTTGCGTCTGTGCCCTGTCAATTCCCAATTTTGTCGGATGAGCCTTCTCTAAGTGTTGTTTCAACAATCCGTACCCGTCGCCTTTTTTGAAATGGTATTGCTTCTTGTCGTTCGCCGGACAGTAGTTGCAAACAGCTAAAAAGTGATTCTCACCTCTTTGCGGATTGGCCACCTTCGTGTAATGTTGTTTGAATATGGCAGATGCCGGTCTGGCACGGGCGAAGGCAGAGGCCGGGTGGCCCGGGTCTGGGACCTCCGGGTCCGGCTGTTGCTGTTGCGTCGGTTGTTGAACCTCCGGTGGGGACTCTCCAAATATATCATCGAAATGGTCGTGATACGGCTGCTGTTGCTCAGGCTGAATTGAGCCAAACATGCGCTCGATCGTCGCCTCATCAATGTCATCAGCGACACCGGGTATATCCACATGTATCGATGGACTCGGAAATTCCGGCAATGGAAGTCTCGACGAAGATGGGCCGGTGCCGATATTTCTACGTTTCTTCCGAGATTCAAACCACGATCACCACGAGAGCTCGACATTTTATAATTTAAAGAGTAAAAAATAAATTGAGAAAAATTATATAGAATATGATGAAATAAATATAAATGGGGAGATGTGGTATTTTTTTTATTTTTGGATTTTTATTATTTTTTTTGATTTTTTTTTTGGAAACCGAACACAAAACTAAAAACCGATCACTAAAAACCGAGTGAGAAGAATATAGAGTAAGAGAGAGACTAGAATAGAGAATAGAGATTAGAGAGAAGAGAGAATGAGATTTCGGTGTAAAAAATGTGGAGGGGAGGGGGTTTATAGGGAAAAAATGAGGTTTAAATTTTTCTTTTTAAATTTTTCTGAATTTTTTAATTTTTTTAATTTTTTATTTTTTTTATTTCGTGGAGCCGCCGGGTCACGGNTCGAAACCGTTGCCGGCGGTCGGCCCGTGGCCCGACCCGGCCCGACCCGGACCGCCGGGATGAAATTTATTTTTTTTTTAACCTGGACCGAACCGCGGCCCTTACGGTTCGGTCCGTAGGACCGGCCCTTATATGGCCGGTTCGGCCCGTGGCCATGTCTAGACCAGGGGCGGATCTAGCTATTTTATGGGGCCTACTTATTTCTAGAAAAAAAATACTACCTCCTATTGTTTTTAAATGTCATTTTAGTTCTATCAATCATTAACCAAATAAATGACATTTTGGATCTTATATACATATTTTTCAATTAGCTAATAAATACACTACATTTTATCATATTCACTCTTTATCTTTCCTCAAAACATCCATCTCTATATTAATTAATGAGAGTTATTATTGGCAAAAAAAATTCTTAATTACTGTGCAACTTCTCAAAACGACACTTATTATGAATATGAGGGATAATAAATCATAACAAAGCATAAATGTAAAAATACACACTCATAGAAATTCTTATGAATTCTTATGAGTTTTTATAACTTGGTATGACTCTACAATAAGGTCTTTACATTTTATTTCGGCCTAACAATGCTATAATTCACTTCAAGTATATTTAGACTAAATGTAGCTAATTTTGAAATATTTTCACATGCACTTTTCTGTCGAAACTATTTATAAAAATATTTGTCTATAATTTGATATGAAAAAATAAATTATAATGTATAAAATGTTTTATCTAATATATCAAAACTTTTAAGAGCCGTCAAGTTATCAGTCGCATACAAATTTACATATGCTAATAGTCATTTAAGAAACAACATTCAATTAGCTACAAGTTTAAATTTTTTATTTTTATATCAGATATAATAAAAAATGACTATATTTACTTTCACCAAAATCAACAAGAACAATGATTTTTTTTGCCCATTGTCTTTTTCTTTTGCTCATTCACTATCTTTTGCCCATTATTTACCTTCTTTGAGTTTTCATTGTTTTTCTTTTTATTTTATTAATGTATTATTAAACAATTTTTTAAGTAGGATATATAGGATGTATTTTTTTTTTTCTCCAGTGTGGGCCTAGGCCCACACTGGCCCTTATATGGCTACGCCCCTGCGAATGACGCATCAACCATGATTGAGGGCCTAGATCAACTAAGAACTGAGTCTGAAGTACGACTTTTGAACAGCCACTAAGCGCAGCATATCCGAGCTCGAGGCATGTATGTTGGCCCCTGAGTTGAAAAATGGGCCCACAAAAGAGTGCATGACGGCCTGTGTCCAATGAGCTGAGCTGGATTTGTAGACTGACCACCAAACAGAAAAGAGCCGAGTCGAAAGAGACAACGAAACCAAATTCCACAAGGACTTTAACCCGAGATGGACTGACAGGCCGAACAAAAGGCAATATAATAAAGGACACTTGCAGCCTAATGATGGGAAAGTATATCTCTGTCGGCCTATGAGTCCTAGACTCATAGGGTAGCACGACGCATTAAATGCATACGGCCTGATGAACAGTTTTCGTGCTACAGTTACTATAAGTACTCTTGTATTAGATCTGAAAAAGGGATGAGAAAATGGACAACTCACGAGATAAAAATTCGGGTAATATATACTAAGTTTAATATTTGAGCGAGCAATAACAACATTGGCCGACTTGGGTCACTACTGTTCTGTCACACTCTTGTATTATTCTGCACTTCCATTCTATTTGATTCTTTCCATGACAAATATTCACATCTATCTTAACCGAACATCCTTAAATCCGATTCAAAACATTTTTAACTCGTTGATCAAATTCGTTTATCAACACAATTGAAAGTACATTTTTATTAAATATATTACTATTATAAATAAATAACTAATATTAGATAGTATTTTATATTATGTTATTATATTAGTTGTAGCCTAATAAATAAGATATTTTGATAATAATATCATTATATAAAACACGTACAAAAAAATAATGCAATACATATAAATGTGGTCTAATTCTTTCAAACAAAAAAATATTATTTGTGAAAAGAATAAGAAACAAATAAAACAATAGCTATGCATGGGAAAAACAAAAAGTCTGAATTTTCTTAAAAGATGTATGAATACCAATATCTAGAAACAAAAGTATTTTAAAATTACTATTTTTTTGTTGCTAGCGTTTGAATATGTTGACTATGTGAGAAATTGGTTCTCATAAATAATGATCCCATATTATCAATTTTGAATTTTAAATAATTAAAAATTTATAAACCTTGTAATACATAATTTAGATTTTAATATTGGCTTCGTATAATAAAGTTAACAGATGACTAAGAGTATTATAATATAACAAAATTCTAATCTTCTCCTCTCAAATATTTTGACAAATAATATGCTTCTCAATATTATCTCATTGTTATGTTTTGTTTTGTCAGTGTTAAAGAATCACAAAACATCTTTATCTTGAATTTTCGAAGCATTATGTATGATGCTAAAAGTTGGACAATAAAACATTAAAAAAGTTAGTAGACACATAAATATTGCAAAATCGGACGATATATGAAAGATATTATGATAAACAACTCTAATATCATTGCAATGACTAGAATGATCAATGATTATCAAACAATAGATTATCTTTCAAATAAATAACATTAAAAAGAGAATGTCGAAACCTGATCAAAATATTTTTGAATATTTAAATGAAGTTTTCACTTTTTTATAAGAATATTTACATTCTCATTTGTGTATTGTGCTCCACTGTATGTTCATTTACTTAGATAACATACTTTAATGTAATGTGTGATGATTCCAAAAAATAATTAAGCATCTCGAGAGAAGTAGATGTAATCAAGATTTTGGAATGTCAACTTTTATTTGGAGATGAAATTTGTTCCCATCCAGTGGGGGTGATACCTCGAGGAGGTATGTACCAATTTGTCTATCTGGAGAGAGTAATATAGTAGTTTATACTATGATAAGAAAAATAAAACAAAAACTATCAGCAATTGTAATGAAACGGTTTGTTATTTCACATAAATATTCATGAATTGTTAGTAGAAGAATCTTATAACGATCATATAACCATGAAGTTTGACTATATGTTTGGCCAGAATATTTCTAGTTGTTTGAATAAAGTAGACGTTTTACCAAATGAATAAAGAAGAATTTTATAGTAATGTTAATGTATTGGGCTCGAGCGAGTATGATTGTTTTCTTATGAAAACGTCAAAATCAAAATGTACGAAAATTACTCTTGAATCATCTAACATAAATAAATAAACGAACTAATGTATCTATAATATGCATTAGGTTCTTATTTAGTTGTTTAATGCTTTTTTTTTTCAGGTACTCATTTTCATATTTTTTTATTAGGTTGTAATATATTATTCATTCTTTATATATGAGGATATCATTATATTCTTTTTTAAAAAAAAAAAAATACATTAACAGCTCATTTGTTCTATATTTTGTTTTGTTCTATTAATTAATTGATTTTATTATACTTAATCGAACAAAAACATTCATCACCATGTATATTGCACGTGCATTTTATCAGTAATTTTAAAATAGGCATAGACAGAAATTGACATTTAGCAAAATCATATGTAATGAACATTGTGAATTAATATGAAAATATATAGATTTTTTTTTTTTTTTAAAAATAATCAATAATGATTTCTCACTTACCCCTAAATGACTCGAACTTAAAACTATTGGTCTCAAATGAAGAGTGTTACCAACTAAGCTATCCTCATATTAAAATATATATAAAATATATATACTCAGTTGAGTATATAGATTTGTTTGACAGGAAGAAAAAACAACGGAGTTGGAAATAATGTTTTCATCAAAAGTCAACAGCTGAACACACCCGTTCTCATCTCACCTAACCATTTGCAACAAACATCGCACCAAACCTCTTTTCTCCCCAAAATCCGAAACAAAACCACCAAACCAATGAACCTCTCAGCACCGCCCATGGACGCCACCGTCAAATCCCTTGTTTCGAAGCTCGCCTCCGTCTCCGAGCGAACCCGCACGGAGGCCCTCCGCGAGCTCCGCCTGCTCTCCAAAAACGACGCCGACAGCCGCCTCCTGATCGCCGACGCAGACGACGCCGTCCCTCTGATCGCCGAGTCCCTCTACTCCCCCGCCGCCGTTCTCCAGGAGAACGCCGCCGCGGCCCTGCTCAACATCTCGATCGCCGCCAAGGAGCGCCTCATGTCCTCCCACGGCGTCCTCGACGCCCTCTCCCACGCCCTCCGCCACCCGGCCTCCCCCTCCGTCGCCCAGTGCGCCGCGGCCACCATCTTCAGCCTCCTGACCGTCGAGTCCTTCCGCCCCATCATCGGCCACAAGCGGGACATCATCTTCGGGCTTGTGGAAATCGTCCGAAGCCCGCGTTGCGCGGCCCAGTCCATCAAGGACGCCCTTCGGGCCCTGTTTGGCGTGTCCCTCTACCCCTTAAACCGGACCCAGATGGTGGAGCTCGGGGCCATCCAGGCCCTTTTCTCCCTGGTGGTTAAAGACGGGCGGGTTGGGCTGGTGGAGGATGCCACAGCTGTCATAGCCCAAGTAGCGGGCTGTGAGGATAGCTGGGAGGTGTTTAAACGGGCCTTGGGAGTTGAGGTCCTGATGGATTTATTGGATAATGCAACTGGGTCGAGTAATCGGACTAAGGAGAATGCGGTTTCAGCTCTGCTTAATTTAGTCCAATTTGGAGGGGAAGTGGTTGCAAATGAAGTTAGAGGAAAAATGGAGGAAAGGGTTATGGATGGCATTCTTGATGTGGTGGAGAATGGGAGTGAGAAGGGGAAGAGTAAGGGTTTGGCTCTATTGACACTGCTCAACATACGTTTGGAGGCTTTGTCGAGCCAATCTGAAATGTAATTGTGTTGTAAAGATTGGGCTGCTCACATGTCATAATGTGATTGTGATTGTGATTGTGATTGATTTCAAAACCATATAGGCAAACAAATGATTAGTTAAATATTGAAGCTAGACCAAAGTTCTGTATTGTCTTTGCTAGAAGCTTTTGTGGTCCCTGATTGCTGTACTTCATTAAGTTTGCATGTAATTATTATCCACAGTAATTTACCGTGGAGAATCTGTAATTTCAAACCTTTTTTGCAGGCAGATAAACTTAGTGGATGATTCACATGAGGGAAGATTGATTTCTCTAGTGAATTGTCCTTGAAATGGAAATTGTCTCAGTTTAACTGAGCAAGCAATAATCGTAGTTTGTGTTGAAGTTCAAGAAGCAGCATATTGCCCAATGACACTGCCCCAAACTGCTTCTGATTAACTTTTGAAATAGGATTGCAATTATGTCACCTCTGCAGAAGAATCTTGTTTCAATAATGTATTCAAAGAATTAAGGTTTCATGGTGCGCTGTAGCGTGGATATGGGCATGTCATTTTGAATTTTTCCTTGTGCAATTCATGAAGCTACATTCTGCATATTACAGAAGCATGTCAAGAAAATAATTACTGTGTACTTAGCATGTGTTACTGTAACTAGGATTAGACGAACTCTATACATGGGTTGCAATTATAAGCTAGCCATTGACTGTGCACTTTATCAATTTCAGAGTTAAAACACATCAGTAAATGGGAAAACTGCACAAGAAATAATAGCAGTCTAAACCTACATTTCATTATTATCTAAACCCACAAGAAATACATAGCACTGTTTGTGTTTGATATCTAATGCATGCATCCAATAAAAACGTGCGCCACGTCACATGTGAAACTATGGAGTGGTTTGTGATACTAAGCTATCTTTTCATTTCACACCTCACCATTTCTGCGAAATTCTCAGCAACCTCATTTTTTGTAGTCATAACTTTCTCCGCAAAAGCAAAGCCAATAGATAAGACAAGGCTGAATCAACCGAGGAAAGTGCAACAATAAGAACAGCAACCAGAACAAGAGTCAATGTAGCAGTCTTCAGCTGCAATAAATACATGATGGACTGGCCTTAGTTAAAACGGCTTATATATATTCTTTTAAGAGAGAAAAAGAAAAGCAAATTGTCTCACATTTGAGTTGCTCTCACTGCTCATAAATTTAACTTTAACTACACTTGCATTTCCGATATAACGAGGTAAAAACCAGAAAACTTGCAACGTAATGCATGGAACAATTGTTTAACCGAAACAACATAAAACATTATAAAACGTAGTATTTGGCATTGATAATAAATTATAAACAAATGAAACTAGATAAGTACATGAAATGACACACTTTTCACTCTGGAGAGAAAAAAGGCCGTTCATTGAAATGGTTCAAATTAGGTTATAATGCATTCTTACAGCTGAAGACCTTATAAAAATCAACACCTGCCACTCACTACCTTGAAAAATTTACTCTGACCCTTCATTATGCTCAAAATCCTATACGATCAAAATGTATGCAATTTAAGGAATATTATAGAAAGTTAATAAAGAAATATTTATCAAAGGTTCACAAGAGTGAAGTAGAAGAACCCATTTACCAATGAATGGAATCAAATCTGAAAAGAAATTCTTGAAGAATAAAGGCCAAGGACACTTTTCACGAATGATTATTTTTTTACTTTAGCAGCATCAATGGGTTTGCATTTTTAGGGATAACAATTATGAAAACATAATGAAATTAATCCCGTTTACAATTTAATCGTAGGGATAGACGGATGCACGGAGTGAGTTCTTGGAAGTGGAGAAGAATTCGATGGCTTCAAAAGGAATAACAAAAGGATATAATGAGGAGCTTATCAAGATTTGAAATACCAAATTCATGCAGGAATCGAACATGCCATTTTTAGGATGTGGATCTAAGAGGGAAAAAATTGCAGATGCACAAACAATACAAAAGCAGAAAGCAACATCTTCATAAGCACTTGTATCTCCCAGTATTATGGCGAAGAATCCAGAAGCACTAAGCCACTAACCGTGCTCCCAAAGCTTGGCCATTCAATATACTTTAGCTGGCTCGGCTGTTCAGCTAGAAAGAGAAATAAACTCCTAAGGGTCCTGCAGAAAAAGTAAAATAATCAGTTCAGACTGCACTTATAGGCCACTACAAAATGCATCAGTAAATTCCATTAAATTTCTATATTCACATTCTAATTGAAATCAACATACCCCATGACATCTCGAATGAAGTTTAACAAGGAAGGCCTGTGAGCGTTGTTGTTGTTGTCCAGCGGATAGTTTCTTCCGGATGACAAAATGTGTGTGGTGCATGGAAACCGATGATGGAAATATTGATTCGAGTGATTTCCAAACTGAAAATGTATAAAAGAGAACAAACTACATGGGAGCACATCAAACATCAATTTTGCAAACGAGAAAAGATAGTTCACTGCTCACCTTTTTCGAAAACAATGCTATCCTACATTGTGGTTTACTGAATCTGTAAGAGTCGTGATTATGAATCTGGAAAGGCAACTTTGTGCGACCTGTACCATCAATTGGGTGACTTTTGATACCTACAACATAAAGCCAATTGCAACCTCAGCGAGTTCCAACTCACTAATAGTAAGTGTCCGAATTCGTATGCTTGACAGCGTAAGCGATGTTAGTACCTGAAATATTCAAAATTGAGCCAGAAACGGCTGCCATGTATGCGCGCGATAGAGAGAACTGAAGGGGTTTCCAGTCAGAACCTCGCTTCAGTTGTGAGGACGCCTAATTTCGGGGATAACGTGCCGGTTGAGTGCGGCGGAGCTTCGCCGGTGAAACAGTAGAAACGAAAACCTAAAGTGGGAACGAGGGAGTAAAGAATTAGGAACAGAATGCAGTAAAAATAAAATGAACAAGGTTCAACAGAGGGGAGGGCAGGGATTTTACTAGAAGGGGAAGAGAGGAAATGGAAGAAGTTATTTTATTTTGTTTGGAACATTTTGGAGGTCGATGGTGACCATTGATGAAGGAACTCAGGTCAAGTTAGGGTCTTTGAATGACTTGCTAGAAACTCAGACATGGGGATATGCAGGTCGATGGATCGATCTGGAGGGCAGTATAGAAGCTTAGCACAGAGGACACTCTACCTCGAGACAAATGGGGTTGGTCATTTGATTAGACTGTCTAATAGGATAGACTAATAGATACGAAAATTATTTTAAGGATAAGAATCACACGTGGATTGGAACATGTAGCTTAACAGAACTAGATAATTCGGACAGTCTATACGGGCAGACTTGGGTAACAAGATACCACCCCTATATAAAGGAGTGAGGTATGACAATTCAAACTTTACATTCTCTGCACTCTCTAAATATTTATAGAGATCTATATCTATTGTTCATCTTCTTCACCATTGTGGACTGACTTGATCATCGGAGTGCTAACACTAAGAATCCCTCCCGACCCTTTTTGCAGGTCAACAACCAAGTCAGGAAGCAGATCCGTTCGTGCAAGCCAAATCGAGATTTGTTGCACACCAGTTATAGTATAATTTGAGTTAGTTTAGCTTAACTAATGAATTATACTATCATCGTTTGAATCGATTGAGAATCTAAGAAACGAATCCTACGCGCTGTGAAAACTAACAATTGGATTCGAGACTATACATTTAAAATTTTTTTCGACTCTGTACAGACATACACGCCCTACGGGGTTGAACGAACGGTTCTGAAATGTGTCCTCTAGCCTATGTTCACCGTCGTGCACTGCCCTTGTCAAGTCTCCGACTGTCGCCCTCCGATCACCGAGCTTCGCCTTTGGTCACGTCACTGTCGTCGGGAGTCGCCGACGGGAGCCTGGTCATTGATCTGTGTGCGTTGCTTGCTGCGTCATCGGGCGCCGCGCATGCTACCTGCATGGTCATTGAGCGTCGTGTGTGCTTCCTACGCGGTCACCTGCGAGTGCTGCCAGATGCTGCCTCACCTCACCAGTGCGAGCCCACTGCCGCCGGTGGTCCTACCGCATGTGGTGGTCGGCGGTGGTTGGGAACGCCAAGTTTGATGGTCATCGGATGTGCCGCAGGGACATATTTGATGGAACACGAACGTACAACTTTGGGATCTTCTGTTGTAAGACCGATCATCTGCTATGATTCGTCTTGGTGGGCGACTCGCCGAATCTCCCAAAGCCTCACAACTTTTCTCTCTTTAGACCTTAAAGTTTTATCCAAATTTTCTAAGAAGAGAAATTTGATTCTCAGGTGTGTTATGCATGTGGAATTCTTATCCTTGGAAGCTATGAGACTTGGTGTATTTATAGGCTACAACAAGGACCCCAAAGAGGTGCTAAATATGAGCTTCCCAAGTATGAGTCTAACCGTGGGCCAAACCTACTCTTCTCATACTAGAATAATTTTTCATTCCACTAGAGAAATATTATTGCACTCCCCATTTAGCGCTTCAAATACATATAATTCGTCTCCTGGCTAATTACTCGATTTACTTCCCCGTGATTAAGATACAACGTTCATTTTTAATTTAATTATTGACAATATAATTAATCAACTTCTATATCTGAAACTAGTAACACTCAATACTTTATCGTTATGTCAAAAATTTCCGTCGACTGGGATTGACATAATAATCCTTCTTGAACTCTTTTCAGGGACGTCATCAACTCGGCAAATCGGGACACAATGACAATAAACAATCTTAAGGGCACATCATGGAATCAACATCACTTACCAAAATATCGAGTCTGTCGACCTAACAGAATAAGTCTCATCCATGGTAAATCAAATAAGCAAGTGCTGAAAACACATGTCCGTTTATTGTCTTACGGGTTAAGAGAACGCGACAATTACTGAGGTCTAAATTATTTATTTGGTTAGTATAAAATAATCTTTTCTTCATGTAGATGTGTTCAATACATCTAGGATGTACTAGTATAATTCGTTAGTCAAATATCAACTAACTCGAAAATCAAACTATAGCCTTGCACGACAGTTAGTTCAATTTTGTCTGGGTTGTAAACAAATATTTATATTTCAAGCACCGATAATATGATATTTCTGTTCGACTTATATCAAACCATATTATTGAAAATGTAAAATAAATGAACTATGTTTTTATAAATAAACTACGAACATTCTCTCGACTAAAAACACGAACCTCATTCAATATGAATTGTTAATAATACAATGCCTAGCTTCTACAGTATACTCTAATATTTTTATCACTGGACACCTGTTAGCCCGAATTTAAGTTTCAATTTCAATTTTTATTTTCTTTTTTCCATCTAGACTTCTTTGTATTGTAGATTGATATTGTATTTATTTACCCAATTGGGGGTTTAGATCTATCTACAGGTTGGTTATTTGGCCTCCATCCCACGCCCGTCTATCCCCTGCCTTTTTGGGACANTCTAGTAACATTCACTCATATTCAACTCACCTAAAACTTGTCCAACTCGAAAAAAAAAAAGTTCAAATGAATTGATTGATAAACATCCTGAAGAGATCCCCATTCACATTTTTGTAAATTTTCCAAAACAAGTGTCTACCGTTGTGTATATTTGAAGGAGAGCCATGTAATTGTACACTACAAAAAGAAAAATATGTGTACACTCAACATTGGCAAGGATGATCAAAGCTCTTAATTTGAAGGGTGGAATCTCGATTCCATAGTCAGAAAGCATAACCCAGCAAAACTTGGCTGATCCCAATTGTTTGATACAAGTTGTTTTCTGCCTTATCCTCTTCCAACTTCTACTGAAATGTATAAAGAGATCGATAATCAACATCTCAAAATTTACAAGACAAGACAAGACAGAAAATGATAGGCTGCAATGGTGCTTCGCAGAATTTCTAGTTCCGACCATTTCTTCGGAAAAGCAAGAACACATGATTGACAAATTTTGATTGTGAAGCTCCAAAGTGTGTAGCTCTGTTTATATTAACTTCACATGTCATTTTCCAGTATATCACGCATCATTTGTATTGGTACTAGTCCCTCCGTACGGATAGCATCTTTCTTTGGGTCTGGACTTATGAAATACACTGTCGGCAATCCTCGAACCTGTAACACAAAATTGTTTTGTCAAATAAAACTGTTACTTGCATGTTATNATAAATAGTGTCAATAGAAATTGCTTGTGCGCTGCGACACAGAAGGAGCTCAAATAGTTAATCTATATACACATCTTGTAGATTGATTATAAGAAAAAGATACTTCAAATATCAAACAAAGTTTGAACCACTTTATTTTTTCTAATCTTTTCATTGTTTTCCTTAATTTCTGAGACGCAATCTCAGCCACTCTATTTCATTTAAGCCCAACATCTGGCCTGAAAATGAAACATTAATTACAGTGATTTTATTAATCTCAACTTTGAAAAGTTAAAAATATGAAAAACAAAAATTAGGTGAAAAAATCATAAAACAATTCAAGTTCAAGATAATATTCTTGGTACACACAGAACGTATCTCCAGCTTTCAAGCTTCAGCCTCATTCAATGCAGCCTACTCTATGAAAAGGCTACTAAGTTAAAGAAAGAGAAGATCACCTGCATATCACGTGCAAACTCATATTCATCATCTGTGTCGACCTTCACAATTATTGCATTGTTTTCATATTCAACAGCAAGCTGTAGAACCCAAAAAGGATTGAATAAATAAAAAACAAAATGCTTGAGTTAAGATCTAAAGTCATTAAACTTTGGTGGCAACATAATAACAGACAGACTTCCACTGCAAGTGGAGCACATAATAACTCCTTCAGCCAATGGGCAACTACATAGAATTAGATTTATAAAATACGAGAACATGCAGGTGTTCAAAAAGAACAATTGAACAGCAGACCAGAAAACCACAATAACTAATATGTAACTGAAGTTCTATCATCCATGAGGCAAAACCTAATACTAGGACATGCTAAGAGGAAATGAAGCTTGGAGAAAATATGAAAACTTAAGTAGAAACGACATTTAAGAGTAAAATCGTTTCTCTCACAGCTTGACAGTCTAGCACAACAATGCATGACTCTGTTGCAGCTCTCAAGTCCAAACATAATAAGAGGCAACCGGCAAATAGTATCTTCGTAACTCTACAAATATAGGTAAATGCAGTTTATGGTATTGCCGGTTTGCTACCAGTCAGTTTGCATAATTTCTTCTCAACTCTTGATAGCAAAATTTTCAGAACTCAAATATATTCAAATTTCATGACCTGAATTAGTTAATGAATTAGTTAAGTAACTTGAAAAATAAAAGCATCATCTTCACAAATTTGGAGCAGTGAATTCAATTAAACGAGGTTTGAGTACCATGATGCAAGTTAATTATAGTTGCCCGTTTCTTCTTGTGTATCTCATGAATGATTTCACCATTTCGAGCAATAAAACAAATGCACACCAACATTAGACCAGCAGAAGATTGTGACTGAATTTCTAACAGTATAGAAACTCCATGAAGAATGTAAACATACCATCTCAAGTTCTTGAGCCATCAAGACACAAGGACCACACCATGTGGCATAAAAATCGAGGACCACTGGTAAATTTCGATCTCCCTTCACTAACTCTTGGACTTCTTTTGCAGATAGCTTTTTCTGCAATAGATAGAACAGTTAAAGATAAAGAATAATCTGATATTACTAATTACTAACAAACTAAAACTGATGAACCACGATATTAGTCACAAGAATTTAGTTGTTTTGCTATGTTTTCTAGACCAGAACAGAGTCAATAATTCTGAGACATAGTAACAGACTTATATATAAGCAAGGTAAAATAATCCAAATAAATTTTAAGAATGACTATAAAATTTGTAATGTTTGATTTGGTACAATTTTTTTATGGGGTAGTTTATCTATCAACCTAACCAAGAGAAAAAATGTTACGAAAAAGAAAGGAAAAAGAAACAGGTAATAAACCTTAAGGAGTTGTGAAGCATCACTAGGTTTCTCTCCAATCACCTCAACTATAACCGTAGTTTTGCAAGGCCTGACAGTTCTTCCTCCGATAATTATCTCATAGCATAATCCAATAGAGGACCACAAGGTAACCAATCATCCCGCACACATTTTTTTTTTTTTTTCCGGAACAAATATGCAAACTTTCATACTTGAAAGTCATACATTAAGAAACAGCTTAAACAAAAGTATGTCATTTCGCAGTATTCATATGCACTTTTGTTCGCCAAACCAACCTAAAACTGTAGAATTCGTGTTTTTGTAATTATATGCAAATCAAAACAATATTATTTGCAGCTGTACTCTCCTTTCTACAACTTTCCAATGATTTTAAGCAAGTAATAAGCAGCTAACGAAGCAAATTAGCCACAGCACACGAAAATGGATAATTTCTATCACACAATGACTAGAGATATTTCTGGCATCATTGTAGCGACCAAACACTAGAAATAAAAGAATAAACCCAAAGCACCGGAATGGAAAACATTACATATCACGTTAATAATCGGAACTTACCCTAGGTGAGCAACCAAATAATTATTACAAAAAAGGAAAAAGGGAATATAAAAGAGCTCAAATACTGTCTCAGATAAGAAAATGGTATAAGGAATAAAAAGAATACCACGAGATAGTCGTCGCTGAGATACTTCCCAGCTGGTGGTTTGCAAATAAGCCTTCTTGAGTGGGTTTGAGGTGATATGAGAGAGTTTTTGTTGACGAATAGTTTGTTTGGTCCTTGGAGGGTTTTCAAGGAAAAATGTGACGGACAAAGAGCCGAAGTTGGAGGTGGAGCATTGAACGAAAGGACGCAAGGTTGCAGCATTTTAGTTTTGAGAGAGAGAGAGAGGATGGATAGGGCTTTTACAGAGGTTTTAACTTAGCTGAGCAAGGAGAAATTCTAGTATATAAATATTAGATAATTTGACCTCCGTGTCCTATCCTTCTATAACTCGCTCCGCGCCAATAGTTTTTAGGCAGGGCTAATAAGTAACGAGGTCTTCAATTGAAATTTTGAAGTATTTTTTTAAAATTAATAGAATTTTGGTATATTCAATTCAATTTTTTTTAAACTTCAAAAAGATATATAACGTGTTTAACTGAGATTTTTAAAAAAATTTATAAATCTCAAAGCGTCTCAACCTATTTAATTAAAACATTCTAAAAGTTTCTATAGGTCAATCAATATTCAAATTATGAAGACTTAATGAGACTTATAAATTAAAAGACTTGTAGTTTTAAGTCAAAATCTATCAAAAGTCTCATCAAATTGGTGAGATTTTGTTTCACGTGACTCTTCATATCATAGGTAAGCTTGTCAAAACGGGCTTGGGCCCGCGGGCTGGCCTGACCCGCCCGTCCAGAGTGGGTTGGGCTGACAATTTGAAGAGCCGCTAAAGAGCGAGCCTAAACGGGTTGACCTGCGCGGGCCATGGATTTCAGAGCGGCCTTTTTTTCAATGTTTTTTTGATTTCATACACAAATACAAACCACAAATCGAATTTTCACAATTCCACNAAAAAAAAATGCAAAAAAAAAAAAATGCATCATTTGTTTAGACTTAATCAATTTGTTCGACCAAAATCATAAACCTTTATCACAAATTCAAATCCCAACTCAATCGGTCGATCTCGACGGCAACAAGAAGCTGCCACAGTTTCTAACCGACGGAGGTCGGCGAAAAAAGTAAAACTAAGAGAGGAGAGAGTCCACAAAACGGAGAGAGAGAGAGAGAGAGGGAGAGAGAGAGAGAGAGAGAGAGAGAGAGAGAGAGACTCGTCAGCGCGAGGTGGCTACATAGGCAGAGATCCGTCGCTAGCAAGTTTGCTAGAAAAGTAGAGACTCAGCAATAGGAGTGGCAGCGAGGCGGCTTTGTCTGGCAATTGCTTCCGGCGCAAGGGAGATACGTGGTTTGATGATGCCATGTGATATGGCCATATATGTGGACCGAAACTAGTCTAAGTATGTGGAGCTCGACCGGAGTGAAGAACGAGCTAACAGAAGAGGATTATCAAGCTAGAATAGCTGGAAGACCTCACCCTCGGACAACCTCGGGCTGCAACTCGACCTACCCCTTAGGTGACCTAAGGACTCTCTGTATGAACTACCTCATACGACCTAGGCGACCAAGACTCGACCTTGACCAATATAATATGTGAGGGACGACCTGTAAAAAGATCATGACCTAAAGTAGCAGAAAATAAGAATAGAAGGAATCTTGGGAAGATAAGAAGAAATCTAAAAGTGACTAGGAGATTAGGAAATGACTAAGATTTGAAAACTGAAAGTCGAGCTTTTACAGTATATTCTAATAGAAAGGTCATCCTTAGTCAATCTCAACCTGTCCGAGCATGCTCCTAAGCCAATGTGAAATGATTACCGCCCTGAACCAATTCTCACCGCGCAAAAAATAAGTCACTTGCTCAAGTTGTCGAACATGTGTCACCACACATCTAATCAGAAGCCACCACGTTTTCTGAAGAAATTATACTAGTACAATACCTGTGTATTACACGGGTGTTGAATTAGAAAGCTTTTGTAAAAATATTAATTTTTTTTAAAACTAAAATAATTTAATTTTATATAAAATATTACTTTCGGTTTTAATTAAATTGTCAAATTATATTTTTTTAATCATAATTAAACACCCGTACATTAAATGAAAATGTCAACCCGTGTTGAATTTTTTTACTTATATCATATAAAAGTATCGATATTATTTCCTATTATATATGTACAAAAATATATAACTTAAATAAATAGATATAATATGGTGATATGTATATGCATAAGTGTAAAATATGTTTATTTAATACTAAACAAATAAATTAATTTTTTTTACTTAATTAGATGCCTAATACATCAAGTGTCGTATCAGACGTGCTTCACAGTTTTTTAACTGTATATGAAATTTTAGAATTTATATAAATAATTATTTATTTTTATTACATTGACAATATACCAATTAGATTTAAAATAAATATAATATTTAAAATAATACATACCAATTTCTATTACTTTATAATATAATTTATAGTTTTATTTGATATAATTTATTTTAGTTTGATAAATAAATTTAAATTTTATTTATAAGGATATATATTATTGTTTTGTATTATATATATATATATATATAAATAAATAGTAAAATACAAACGGATTTCATAACATCAATTCAAATGCAACACACTAATTAAGATTTTTTTCTTGACAATATTAACTCTATTTAATGGATGTTATGAGAAACGATGAATATGTGATATGAAGAGACACTATAAATATGAACAAAATATCTAAAACGACATTTATTTTATCAATGATAAGTCAAAGTGACAAATAAAAAAAATAGGAGGGAGTATATATTATTATATATTTTAGTATGACACATGTTACTTATGCGACTTATATGTGTTATATTATAATAAATTTTCTACCTTATAACATATAACTAAATTAAACATAAATATATTAATTGATAATAATTTTATTTTCTAATTAATTTTAATAAATATTTTTTTTATTATTATAAAGATAAATATAATTTATTTAATTATTTTATATATACAATATGGATGTCAAATCGAAACTCATCAAAAGACGATTAATTTAATATATTATATATGTAAAAGCGATAAGAAATACAAAAGTTATCAACTTTAAAATATATTTTCGATTCAATGGTTATAATAAGAAATAATATTAAAATACAATTAATATAAATATTAATTTATATCCAAGCTTAACTCCAAAGCATGATTTTTTGCCAAATAAGATTCCGAAGCATGAGAGTTTGACACGTGGGCTCAGTGCATTCTGAAATTATATATAGAGGGGAATTACATATTAATACTATTTATTTATTTTATAATAATTATTAATATTGTTTACCTTCATATTTAATTTATAATTATTATTTAATATGTTTATTCGCGCATCATAGAGGCTTCGCACTAATGTCATATATATGGGGTACAAAAGTGAACTTTTCCCGTCTAGAATATATAGAGAAGAAGAGTCCTGAAAGCCCAACTAAAAGAGATTCCGAGCTATGGCGTCCATAGGCGGCGGCGGAACCGCGGTGGAGTGGCACCAGCGGCCACCAAACCCTAAAAACCCGATCGTGTTCTTCGACATAACCATCGGCAATATACCTGCTGGCCGTATCAAGATGGAGCTCTTTGCCGATATTGCTCCTAAAACCGCTGAAAATTTCAGGTAATATTACTTGCACCGTGCCAGTTGAATCTTACATTGCTTGCTCGTATTTGTATGATCAACTTAGTTCTGTTCTTTAAGCTTACACTTATTAGGTTCTTCACATCTAAGGTTGTGTGCATTGGAGTTGATGAGATTGTTTCTTTTCAGTTGTAGAAACTTAATAGAACAAGGGGTTATGACCTATAAGAAATTGGTGACACTCATATATGCGTGTTTGTTTGTTTGTGTGTGTGTGTATATGTGTTTGTCTGTGTTGGAGCTGGTGAGGTATAATTTAAGATGAAATAAGTAATGTTATGAAGTCTCCGTATTGAACATTACGTAACACGTGTTCATTTACACAGTAAAGGAGTGAATGGTTTATGCCTACATTCCCTTGGGTTTGATTTCCTTCATATACTTTCTCGTTAGGAAGTCCTGTCAAATATTTCCTTCACTCTTCTTTGTGTTTATTCTGGTCTCTTTATGTGGTACATTAACTTACTGATATTTATATTTGTGTTTTTCTAGGCAATTCTGCACTGGGGAATACAGGTTTGTAACTTTCTAAATTTCTAGTTTCTATTTTGTATCTTGACCTTGTGTTGATTCTGATTAGACTGTTTATGAATAAATATATATAGAGTTTCATTGTGATAAATATAGTAAACGATTGATTTCTGCAAATCTCAAAATTTGTATTGTTATAAACCAGCTATTATATTGCTCTTTAGACTAGATAATTACAACAGTTGGTGGAAAACAATTTCCCTAAAAGTGTTGTGCTAGGTTAGAACATGGAAGATGTTGAAAGTAGAATCAAATGTAAATTAGCATCATGTATGGGTCAATTGATCACATTCCAAGGTTCTCAGTCCATACTTTTACCAACTTGCTCCTCCAAAACCTCATTTTTTAATATATCTTTCAATTTATTTGATATACATGAACTGCTTTTACTATTTTGATGTATGGGAAAGCACTGACAAGAGCTGTTCCAGGTAAATTGAATACCTAGACCAATGTCATGAATGAAGGTTGGGTACTTATATCCAGTTTTATCAGTCATTTTCTACACAATAAATCATAGTGCCATGAATGATGTTGTACTACTTTATTCAATGTACTTCCATATTCGATAGAATCATATATTCCAACTCTATTTCGTATAGGTAAATGTTTTCCAGTTCATGATAACCGTTGATGAGTAGTTATGAACCCAAATTCTAGATGTCAGCGTAAATAACAAGTATTCTAAGGAGTCTGTGTGATGAATATTTTCACAAATTGGAAATAGGTGAGTCACAGTCCAAGACTCCAAGCAATCTCTAAATCTATGTTTGGATCTCTCCCTGTTGGTTCATGTTAAAAGATACATTTTCTGATTTTGTTCATAGTTCCATCATCAAAGGCTGGAGCTTAATGCAATAATGGTTTATTTCTTTTGCATTTTGGATAGTTCTCGTTAAATGTTGACATCATCCTTGTTTTTACAAATCATCAGGAGTCTTAAGTTTGTTGTTTAACATACTGGATTGTTAGTGCATTTGTCTGTTTATTTTAACTGTTCGGATTTGCAGAAAAGCTGGACTACCTGTTGGTTACAAGGGCTGCCAGTTCCACAGAGTAATTAAGGATTTTATGATTCAAGCTGGTGACTTTCTAAAGGTCCCTTACACTGCCTATTATCATACTGTTCTGGACAGAGACTCTAATGCTTTTAGCTGACATTTACTCACATTGTAGGGTGATGGCAGTGGCTGTGTGTCCATATATGGAAGTAAATTTGATGATGAAAATTTTACAGCAAAACACACAGGTCCTGGTCTACTATCAATGGTATGCTATATATTCTGCAATAAATAAAGTTCATATAGTGATATAGTCATTAAGGTAGTTACGCTTAGTTGAGTTACCATTCATATGTATACTATGTATGATTGAAATTGAACATTGTGAAATTTGAATGTTAATCCACTCTTATCAAATTCCTGTGTCTTATGTGGTTGACATGTGAGCGTGTTATGACATTCATCATTGAAAGTTAATCAGTATCTTGATATATACTGTGAGGGTGAGGTAAAAAATGTCTGACATCTCCAAATATTCATTTAAGAACTCTCTAATGTATCAAAAAGAATTAACATCATCTTACGATCTACCACGCTGTTCTTCTAAAAGTTTTGAATTAGCTCTTCTGATTCTTGAGTCTAGGAGGGATTTGTTAGTGACTAGTTGTTTGTATATCGAATGATGCTAGTGGATCCCATGGCTGTTTTATTCTTGCCCCTTCCAAATATTGCACCTGTATTTTCAGAGAAGCAATTTCTGTTTAAGTAATCCAGTCATTTTATATGCAACTATAGTTCTGATTCGTTTGTTTTCTTCCTTTTGCAGGCAAATAGTGGTGCTAATTCTAATGGTTGTCAGGTAATCCAGTCAATTTTATATGCCATTTATGGTATCCTCTTGAAGAATCTGTTGCCATCATATATCTGCTTATGAGAAGGAAATCTTGTAGATAACAGGGAACAACTGGATAAAGCAGTTACCACTTGAATGTTACCTGGATTAAATGTTATTTACTTATCACAACAACGTACCTTGAAACATGAGACACTGAACACAAACTTCTCTTTGATTTGAATCAGAATAATAATAATGTAATGTTCAAAAGTTTTATATAATATTGCCTTGTGATGTACTTTGACATTCATCGTTACTCCTGATTGGTATTTCGTTATTTATCTTTTGTTTTTCCCGTACGGCAGTTTTTCATTACCTGTGCGAAGTGCGACTGGCTCGACAACAAACATGTGGTGTTTGGGGTATGTAAATCCATCCTGCCCTTTTATTATTTAGTTTCTTACATTAACCTATTAACAAAAAGCATAAAATCAAGAAATATATGCTTTGTATACTGATTGTAACAATGGTCCTCCTTGTTTCCTACTTCATCACACTTTTAGTTTTGGAAGTCAAGCTAATAATAATATTAATATTCTGTACTGAAAGTTCAGATTTTGATGCAGCGAGTTCTGGGAGATGGTCTTTTGATTGTGAGGAAGATAGAGAATGTTGCCACTGGGCCCAACAACCGGCCTAAACTGGCATGCGTTATTGCTGAGTGTGGAGAAATGTAAGCACATTCAGATCAATAAATCAGACATCAAAAGCCCATTCGGCAGTATAATTGAGAACGGTTATGTTTTAAAGGCTTATAGTCCCCAAACCAACTCTCACCTTCAGAGCTGTGCTGTGCACATGAACTCATTGTGGTGTTTAACAACCTAGTTGTGGAGAACAATGTCATCACTGTGCAAGTTTTGGGATTCACTTGTTTTGAATGCGTACCAACTACCATGTGGTTATGTCTTATCGTACACACAGTACCATCTTTTGCTTAACCAGCACATATAACTATTGCTAGTGTTTTTATTTTACAAGTTTAAATACGTTTTGGGAAAACATGTAAATGACAAATGTTGGATATCCCACTAAAATAGTACAGTAAACAGTACTAAATGCAACAGATTTAAAAATTCAGCATGTCAATAATATTTATTTATTTATTTATTTTTTATATAAAAAAAAGATGAATTCTTATAGTGCCTGCATCTTAGCCTAGAGTGTCGAGTTAGCTGAGCATCTACTGAGGTAAAGAGTTGTAAACATCTAATATAATGAATCGGCCAGGGGCAAGAAAGCGGATAAGTGTTGTTTTTTTACCTTATTAAGATGCTAATTGGGATAATGAAAACATTTCATATAATAAATAGGCCAGGCGCAAGAAGGCGGAAATATTTCATACATTGCGTCACAATTTTTTTGAAATTTAAATTGCTGCAACTAAGCTAGCATATTGCTATTAGGAAAAATGACCCTTTAAACGAATTTTTTTACCAGTTTTCCATTTATCTTCAAAGATAAAATCAATTTGAGTAATCATAGATTGCCTGGGTACATTTTTCCTAGGAAAAAGGAACAGATAAAGGGAAAAATCAAGAAAGAGAATAAAGTACAAGGATGATAACAGCACATTTTTCGTCGAGTCAAGAAACAGAACAAAACACAAGGATGATAACAGTACATTTTCCGTTGAATACTAAGCCGCAGATTTTGGGATTTTGTACTGTTTCTTGAGGAACTGAGAAGCTTCTGAATCACTCCTGTGACAGAGAATCCTTATAAGTGTCTTTGTATCGGCACCCAATTTACTCCTCCCGCCTTGCATCTCCATCTCACTTGCTGATCTCAAATCTTCTATCAGCTCCCGAGTCTGCAATCCGCATTATAACCAAATAAAAAAAAATAAAAAAAATCTGCACCTTAGAGCCTTTTCAAAATATATATAATAATATTTATGCTAAAAAAAATGCTGATTTGTAACCCATGCATCATATCTTGGTATATGCCTATATGAGGCGGTTCAAAAGGGAGAAAGAGATAACAAGAAACGAAAAGAAAGCACAATAATACCGCAAAATCTCCAATGACTCTAATATCAGCTGGTTTCGGTAAAACTGATCTCACCAGTTGGTGTCTAAACTGGAAAGGAAAAACAATATTAACAACACTAACCTCATAGCCATGCAACTTAATCACCTGCCGGGCACGTGCCACTTGGTTTTCCACAACTCCTCGAGGGAGACCGTCCCCTCCAGAAATAAAGAATTCCTGGGATTGTGCAAAGCTAGTTATTATTTCAAAACAAGCACAACCAGAAAATGATAAATATAGAGGAGGACAAGTCGCATATTATTGCTCAGGGAAGATATGTACCTTCAAAACGTCCAAATCTTCTTCCAGTAGCCTAGCATCAGCTGGAGTGAACATACGTGATGGCCCACCATCTAATAATACACGGATCAAGCCATCCTAGAAGATCTCGAAATAGTGTTAAATGATGATAAATTAAGAAAAAAGAAAAATAAAATTCATACTATTGGAAGCAAGAGTGATGGATACGAACCAATGATGCTTGAAGAAGTCCGGTCACGACACGGTCTCGAAGGGGCTCCACTATGATATCACACAACTGATTGAGTACCTGCCATCCATTATCAATCGAATAAAATCACTTGTGAATTGTCCCACATTGATTGTATAGGGTAAATGAGCCTAGTTTATAAGCGGCTACTCCTCCCATCACCAATTGTTTTGAGATGGAAACCTCACTAAGGTGCACCTAGGCTCGCCCTCTTATGGTGTGCCTCACCTCTATGGAACCGCAGCCTCTTTTCTCGAATCTATAACTCTAACAATAACCAATATGCAACTCTAACAATATGTAACTCTAACAGTAACCATTATATTAGCCTAAGATGAACATATACTTCAAGGAAAGTCTTGGCCAATAAATCATTGAAGGAAAAACAAACAAAATGTTTGGGCTTGATATTGGACAATGTTAGGTCATACCATGTCAAGAGGGTCAACCAGGGTTTCGAACCTAGACTGGGGGACACTTGGCTTATAGAGGCCGTCAATGAATGGTTCTCTCAAATCCCAGAAAATTGTTTTAGTTCCTGTAAGTAATAAAGCAAATTATTATCAGCATATAAGTTTATCGCTTGCAAACTTATAAAAATAAAACTCAATGGAACACACCAGTAAATTCACAGATTTGGTCAATAGCTGCATTGATATCTTTTCTGCTTCCATCAAAACTGTCCTTCCGAATGGATTTTCTCAAGCTATCTTCAGCGGATCTTTCTGCACAAGGAAGAAAAGCATAAATATTGTCAATTTTGACAAAAATATAACATTTAATGTTTTTCAAGAATTATATATGGAAGAAAATCCGCATGGGAATAGTAGTTTGTGAGCTAATCAAATTGTTTGTGTATATTATGTAAATATGAAAGTCCTTTTGGGAAGGACTTAATTCTCTCAGTCGTGTATATAAATAGCGCTCTTTGTACCCTTTGAGTCATTAAGAACTATACAAAATTTCTTCTGATTAAATGGTATCAAAGCAAGATTAGGGTTGCCATTTTTTTTTTCCAAGGTGTACCCAAACATTTTTGGGCTGATGTTGTTTCTAGTGCATATCGTTTGAATAATCGCATGCTTTCAGTTGTGCTTCAGGTGAAACTCCTTTTCCTGTCATCTCATGTTTTTGAAAGTACATACTTTGTTCGAAATACAGGACCCCACATTATTAAGTTACATCCCAAGTCTCTGAAATGTATTTTGCTAGAACATTCTTGTGTAGACAATGACACTTGGACACTAGTAGACTTCTTTCCAACAACCATTGGCAGTAAATGTGTGTTCACAATAAGTTAGGGTGACCTTTAGATCGGCTGAAAGCACGTCTTACCGTGAAAGGCTACTCTCAGACAAACGCTACTAATTATTCTGAGACAATTTCCCCGTCTCCAAGCAAACCTCAGTTGATTATAATCTCATTGGAAGCCAATTGGCCCCTCCACCGGGCTAGACATTGAAAATGCTTTCACTCATGAGGAAGTTTATATGGAAAAATTGTTTGGTTTTGTTGCTTTAGGGGGAGTGATGGAAGGTTTGTCGTCATAAAAAATCCTTATATGGTTTGAAGTAGAGTCCTAGGGCGTAATTTGACAGATTTAAAAAAAGTTGTCTTGAAGTTCGGAATGATAAGCTGGAAGTCAGATCATTCATTCTTTTATATGCAATTTAAGAATGAGTTCATCCTACTCAGTAGATATCGTGATCATTGGTAGTAACAATACGGGGATTTCGAAGCTAAAAACTTTTCTTCAAGCAAATTTCCAGGCGAAGGATTTGGGATCTTCAATATTTTCTTGGGGAGGAAGTCATACGAAACAGGAAAAGAAATTTTCTTGTCCCAAAGAAAATATGTTCTTGATGCATTACTTACTTGTTGGCTGAGGCTGAATGTGATTTTTTTTGTTCCATCTTTCCCAAATGCTATCTTCCAATTTATTCAAGTGCGTAATCGCATACTGAGACAGAAAGACTACGTTAATACTGATCATGAGACTTGACAACTAGTATAACAAGAGCCATACGAAATCAAGCAATGTATATTTGAAGAATTGAAATAACATAATCATACGAAACAAAGGCATAAAGGATGTACGAATGCAGCTTGAACTCACATAAAGGGTATTCAGTTGAATACAAAGCGTTTGTGTGGTTGAAACATTGATATCACTTGACTTTCGAACATCAGGCAGCCTTGTATCTGTTAGTTCCTTCTTCACGAAAGCTTTAATCCCACCTTCTTTCCTGTATCGTGTGAGAGTCGGCACAGGGGGAATTATGTCCGCCTTGTCAGCTGTAGGACACCAAAGTTGCAGCAAATCAGGAAAGAAGTTGCAAGTTATAAGCCAGGACTAGGAGTCACATAAACAAGATGAGCCACAATTACGAAATACAGTACTCGAGTGGGAAATCACATTATGCAATCAAGCTTGAAGAAATATACAAAGCAACCATATTGACCTAATTTACGGTATTCAAGAATCTAAGCAAGAAAAGCAGGATGCAAACCATACAACTTAGTTCACACAAATTCCAAATTATTGGTTACAGTAATTTCCTAACTTTACTATCCACCAAACTAAGTGGGCAAAACGAAGAAATCATAAGATGGAATCAGTAAATTAGTGGGTCGCATCTGCTGACTGCAAAAAGATACTAGAGAACAATGCACTAATCTTTGTCGATCATATCATCTTCAATAGTGAGTGAGCTCCGGTACATTTTGTAACCAACAGATTCAAAAGAGCAGGTGAAAAAGTATGCACCTTACAATACATGAATGGATAATTTATTCAAGTTTTTAAACAGATATACATACATATATTATAGTATAGTTCATGCGTACATAACTAATAACCCAAATACCAAGCATAAAAAAGAAACATGGAAGAGAAGTAGATAGAGGTGCAAATCCACATTACCACCAGCACCACAAGCGTGGTCATGTAGTGTGAAGGTGAATTCTTTTATACTAATTTAAGAACAAAACAAAATGTGTAATTATTAGGGTATTTATAATTAATTTAAATGAGGGTGTAGAACATATAGCAGACAGAGAACTATTGACATCAAATACGGGTTGAGAAAATACCTAGGCTGTCAAGAACATGCTTGGTATATACTTGGAATGCATTATCAATACCACGGAAGAGACTACTTAACTCTGTCGGCCTCATTGGAACAGTAAGAGCAAAGAATTGATCAACTGTCTGCAAAGAAAAGCTGAAACGTTGGTGCCTACACAGTCTAGGTTCAACAATCAACAAGATTAATTAATCTCTGCATTGAAGTTCTTGTCTGAAACAATTACGTCAGCTCTTCATGTTTTGTAACATGATTTAAAACCTCATAACTGACGGCTATAACACTTTGCACATTAATCCAGCATTAGAAAAACAAGATTCCTCCGTGATCAACATATACTCGAAAAAAAGTTCTCGAAATAATCTGAAGGAAAAAAAAATGAAAGAGAATGAAAAATAGGAGAAATCAAATCAACCTCTTCCACAATCCTGTAGACCTCAACAATTGAACTTCCATGCCTTTGCTGAGCTGAGACTGACACCCATGTCTGATAGAAATTGCGAACAAAAAGGAAATAAACAAAATTTGCAGAATTATTGTAAGTCTATGACTACAAAAATTATAAGTGGCTGGCGAGATCATCCAAAATATCCCACAAAAGAGAGCAACAGAATTCCAGCAGCTGGTATCTCATTATATAAGAAGCATGCCTTTTCAAACAAAATTATATTTTAACAAATGAATACAACAACAATCTCTACTTGCTACTTTTAGCAAATGATGACTTACTATTGAAATAATATGTCACTTAAAATTTGAAGCTAATATGACTATATCATAGTCCCTTCATGATGTTGTTTGGAAAAACACGATAATCCAATCAATCTTGCTTGCACAATAAAGTAACTTTGCTACACTGGCAGAGGAATAATGTTAATCAAAAAATGGTAGCATAAGGCACTCTATGTTCATATCCTAAATTGTTAAACTTCATCTTTACTGAAACTTTTCAACTCCATAATTAGTGTGCACTCTCTTAATTCAAATTAGAAATTAATAAAATAAGTAAAAAACCGAAAGAGTTTGTTAACAGAAAAATTAGTAGACTGACAAATACAAGAATTCAAAAACAAGGTGTGCTCTCACTATTAAGGAACAACACTCTTATTTACTACCTCCTGTTGAAGAACTCGTTCAACCCAGGCCGATATTCTGGCAAGTTGCGAATTGACCCATCGCAACACCAATGTTCCAGAGATGGTCTCAATCTGAATAAAAGTATATGTATAATAAGAGACAAATGAGTGTATTCACTAAAGGATAACAAGCCAGTGGATGAGTCAGGGACCCCTCACCTTATACATGTTTAGTTTCTTGAGATAAGCCTCTGCAGATCCCTCTTCACATGTAGATGTGATGACAGCTACCAAATCTTTCTCGAGATTATCAGCAGCCGGAAACACAGATACAACATCCTCAGTAAGATGTTCAGCACTATCAAGGAATGGTCTCTGAAAGTTTCAAAAAAATAAAATAAAAAGTTAGACTTTATATTCCTCAATATGGTTAAAGATGCAAAGACAAGAGCTTACCAGTTTCATGCCATAAAACTTGTGAATGAGAGATGCAGAAACAGCATTTGCGTTGCGAAGCCGCAAGGATAGTATGGGTAAATACACACTCATTTCTTTTTTCATTAGCTTTTTTGTATGTTCAGCAAGTAAGGCCAAAGGATGTTCATTCATTGTGTCAGACAACGTTTCGATATCCTGTGTGATCTGCAAAGCATGAAATTAAGATTGGAAGTTCATCTAAAAATTCAATTGAGGGGATAGAAACCTTTTTCACTCCTACAGCCAGCCATAAATAAATATATAAGATAATGAGAGGCAACAAGTATCAGTGTCCAAAATTCCTGGGTTTATTTGATGCAAGTGACGACCAGGTGGAAATGGATAAAAAAAGCAAAATGAGATATTGGAACTATTAACGCTGAGGCAGTCTGGAAGATAAAAAGCTATAAAACAACAGATGAGTGAGATTATCTGGATGCATCGGGTCAATTACACTGATTGTTCCAAAAGGCATTAGGATCAGGAAACTGCACATCATCTTTGGTGGCAGGAGGACCAGGCCAATGCTGTCATCCGATGTGTTTTTATTGTTTGAATATAGAAATCACTGTCGCTACCAACTATAGATTAAAAGTAATAACTAAACTTTGCTGATTGAAGCTAGATGAAATTCTTAAAGCCCTGAAACCAACAGATGATTGACAAAAAACTACAGCACTTATTCTCCATTAGTTTCACAAGCCTCACATTCCCCTTCTTAGTATACCATCATTGACTGATTAATTACAAGATTTTGAGAATTATTCAAGGCATCTTTCACAGTGTGTTTGGTTCAATGGTTTTGGAGGGGAAGGGAGGGGATTTTCAAAATTATCCTTGAAAGGAAGGGAATTGAAAAATTTGTGTTTGATTCCCACCAAACAGTAAAAGTGCTCCCCTCCAAAATTGGGAGGATTGGGAGGGGAAGGAAAATGTGACATAGGGAGTGCCAGTGGCAGCACCAGCCATTATCAGTTTCTTTTATCTGCTGCATGCATATTTATACACCTTTTTTATTATCACATTATATTTATTTTCCCTCCCCTCCGCATTTTGTCCAAACAAGGGTTATATATTTCTTTTCTTTTCCCTAACTATAACCAAACCAAACAAGGTAAAATTATTCACATCTACTCCCCTCCCATTCCCTTCTCTTCAGTTGAACAAAACACCCATCAGAGTAAGAATCCTCTAATACTTTGAACTACTACAATTAGTTAAAACCACTTACTCTGGCAAACGCGAGCTTGATTGAAGATGACACATATATCTCTATTTGCTCTCTGTCTGTGGCAGATGCAGACTGCATTGGCATAAAGCTGTATGGTTAGTTTCAGAACATATTTTGTACTGTAACAACCAACTCAACCGCTCCCTTATTCAATTGCGATAATCATGTTTTGCCGCGTTTGAATTTCTAGAAAAAAATGTTTTACTTCATTCAGAACTCTTTTGGTGTTTCTTCCCCACTGTGGATAAATAATCGCCAAAGTAGCAATTGTTAAAAATTTGAAATTTCACACTCAAATTAGAATCAAATAGTGGATTAAAAGAAATTATAACGTACAAGATAAGGTTGACATGTTACAAACTTTTAGCAATCAACTAAGAGATAAGGCCAAAAACATACGAGGCCACAACATCTAAGACATCTCGAAAAGCACAAATAAAAACAAAATTAACCAAAAAAATTATAATACCGACTCAGGTTCTTCAAGAAGAAGCCTCCGAGCAACCATGGCAACAACTACTGCATTTTCCATCATTTTTGACCCCTAAAAAGAACAAAACACGCAAAATAAAGTAAATAATTACACAAACAGAAAAGTTTTCTGAATTCATGTAATTTATGATGATCAATATCACCCATAATTTTATCATGTCATATAACCAGGAAAAAAAAAACAAAAAACAGTCCATAACCAAATTTCATATTATTGTTTTCACAGCAGAGAGGATATGAGCTAACGGGTACTAGAAAGTGAACATGTAACCCTTTGAGGCTGTGGCAACCAATCAATTTATTACAAACATGTAAGGTACTGATAAGGCCAAAATGGACATTAGGTGCATAATTTCAAGTGCCTCACATTCACATTAAGTTTGGAACTGAAATTGGACAAATGCATGTTAAGCAATGGACAAACCTATCGGCATGGTTATAGTATAATTTGAGTTAGTTTATCTGAACTAATGAATTAAACTCACTTTGTGTGCATTGAACGGACCCCGAAGGAAGGAGAAGTTTATTTTATACTGGCTGGTAAATAAACTAGACCTCACGATATCAGTCGTACTCTTAAGCCGTCTGAGGCACATGCATTTAATCTTTATTTCTTTGATTCATCAAAGGGTGAGATATATTCCGCTAGGTGAATAACTCGGTGAGTTGGAAAATATTACCATTTACATGGTGTGTTGTTGATTATATTCGGTCACTGTGTACTGGTGCGCTAGGTTGATAACGTCCCCGAGATGAGCTAAAAAAGTTCATTATGTCAAACCTTGGTGGGATTAAATTCCGGGGATCGAGTGGTACTAGTCTCAGATATTCAAGAAATTAATTAATTAACTCAGTAATTAAATTAATTAACGGACGTTATATCTTTGACATGAGGAGATAAAACGACGATAGTGGAGCCCAAATTTTGGTGTGAGGAAAAGGAAGTACAATAATAAATATTTAGTGATATTATTTATTATTAATGACCCAAGAAATAGAATGGACCACAACTTAAGTATTTCTTGGCCCATTGGGAGTCCTAATCCTAACCTCCTTAAGTTCCTAGCCTATAAATAAACCATGTGGTGAACTCATCGTAAGGCTAGGAATCATTATTTTTCCATAATTATGAGAGCAAGATAGACGGCGGCACACGGTTTGGGAGATCGTCGCCCATACGACACCCAAACCGAGGTTAAGGAATACAACAGAAGACATAAGGTTGAGGGCTGATCGGTGACGCACACACATGACGCACGACAACAACCGGCGACGCACGAGGCCACCAGCGACATGCGCAAACGGTAGCAACCGACGACGCAACGTGTGACTACCACAAGACCCAACAGTGCTCCATCCACCGCAGTAGGCGACCGCGAGCAACAAGCGTGAAGCAACCGCATGGCATGGCGAGGCGAGGCGCGGGGCATGCGGCAACGCACGACGATTGCAACCGGCGCAACGGGAGGCGACGCGGGGCAGACCGGCGATGCGCTAGACATGCAGGACGCGGACAAGATGACTCAGGTGGACGAGGAGATTGAAGAACATCTACGTTCGGGACCGTAGCTCGTGTATGTATGTACATCTTGATCATAAGCTTTAAATCTGCTGCGTGTTAGGATTAATTTCTTAGGATTCGATTAGCGAACAATAATCGACGTTCTTCACCGAACCCAACAATTTAAGGGGCACATCATCTCAGTGTTTGTTTTATGCTCGTGATAGTTCGCTTCAGATTCACTGATTATTGCATTGTTTCTTGATTCTTCTCTTACATGGAAGTCCAAGAAGCAGGCTGTTGTATCGGCGTATCGCGCTGAGGCAAAACTTCGAACACTTGTCACTATTACTTCAGAAATTATATGGCTTCGATAGTTAGTTGATTTTGGTATTTCATGTGATGCTCCTACACCTCTTCTTTTTTGTGATAATATTGTATAGCCAAATGTTCCTGTGAAACATGAGCTTACAAAACACATTGGTGTCGATGCTTCCTTACCAGGTCTCATTATCATCAAAAAACAATTGTTCTTCAGTATGTGCCTCAGAACTGCAAGTGGCAGATTTTTCCACCAAAGCACCTAAGCACAAACTAGAGAACAACATTTGCTCAAACTCAATGATTCGGATCCTCCACCTCCACCTTGAGTTTAAAGGGATGTTAAGTATATTATAGGCCCTAAGTCTATATATGGGCATCTTCAGTAGTGTATCAATCATCCAAAACCCTAAGGTTGTAACAAAAGTTAGTTTCTGAAATACCTCAGGAAAAGAGAGATGGTAATCGGTCAGTCGTGTATCTGCCCATTTTTTAATAGGTAATAGGAATGATTGCAAGAAAGTCAACTCCTGAAGACCCTTCTCATTCTGAACTCTGCAACTCAAGCTTTTCAGGTGCAACCTTTCCTGTGGGCCCCGTTGTTCCTTTAAAGGTATTCTCTTCAACTCGTCAATAGCATGCTGCAGAATATCTTGCTCGCCTGTTATGACAAACTGCACAAAGGACCATGGTTAATCATGCAGCACAACATATTGCTAACAGCATATCCATTTTACAACAGACCATGTGACAGCATGCTCTAGACGGCTAGACCAGTTTAAAACAACATCCCAATTCAAGCAACAGAATAGCATTTCTAAAACCAGAATATCAGATTCAGCAATTTATAATTTTTAAGTTTTTCTATGAGTAAGAACAGAAAAGATGTACTTGTAACCAACAGCAAGTACACAGCACATGTAAAGAAAAAAAAGATTCAGATAAAAAAAAAAAGAAAAAGAAAAAAAGAACCAGAAAAGCGTCAAATGGAAACAACAAATGCAGGATAAAAAACCAACTGAGAGTAAGTGAAAGCAAACAAAAGAAAATTTGTTGGATAATCCCCTAACCCTTTAAAGCAAAAAAATTGTAAGTCAACTGAATACTATTTCTTCCATCAGATATCTACCTGCCGAAATAACACCCATGCATAGCACATATGATGAATAGTTTCTGTGATTCCTAGAATACGCCAGGTTGACTTGAAAAGCTCCAACATTTCTTCCACTTCCTGGCATGAAACAGTTGTGTTATTCCAAAGGATAGTGAGAGCAACTTTTTTCATTTTTATTCTCTTTCTCAAAAGATATATATACATCTACCATTCATGCTCTCATCAATAAAGTTGCAGCAACTCTACTACACTACCTTTCCCTTATCAAGGAAAAGTAAAATATATGTATATACAATTAAACTCCGCCTATGTTGTCTCAACATAGCAGGTCCCAAGCCCTGTTAAAGGAGGAAGGTTGTGATAGGCTTGGCGAGCCAACGTAAAACCTAGCCGTTCTATGGAGATATGTATATATAATTAAATTATTCATAGAGAAAGAAAAGAATAATATTATTTTATTCAGCATAGCAACTGCAGGAAGAAACTAGTTTCACATATTTAATACAATTGAAAATCTCTAACTCAACTTCCAGCACAATTTGTGATGGACGTACAGATTACTCCACTGACCTCCGTAAGCTTCCCCTCATCCAAAACATCAAAGACACTGAGCAATAGTTTCTCATACAATCTGACATTTAGGTGATAACCATCTGCCCAATGGCATATTTCGCCAGTTAAATCACCTCTCGCAGCCCTCTCTGCTAGTGGAATAGCAACATCCTTCAGAGATTTCAAGCATTCTGTCCTTTGAAGATCTCCCGTAGCTGTCGGAAGAGACTGAAAAGGTGAAAACAAGATTTAGTTGAGACTCGAAGTTACAAAAGAAAACCTGCCAACTCTAGTGCGGTATCCCTGGTATTCATTTCATGCCTAGAATAAAGCATATGCATGATTATCATATTAGCTGAATGTGTATATAGACGAATGTGTTATGAATAAAGAATCAACGAGAATTACTGAAACCCTAATTGAATATCACATGAAAGTGACAGCCTTGGTGAAGTCAAACAAATTAAAATAAATGTGATAATATGAGGACAGCAGAGACATGGGCAAAGACATATAGAAGATCAATATTGGACTCTTAAGACAATTAGCACTTGCATATTTGATAAGAGTGCAACCAAAATAAGAGAACTAATATTATTAATTAAGAAAATAATTGAGAACTACTCGGACGAATTCTCATAACGAATCCCAGGCCGCCTTAGACCAATACTTGAAGAAGAAACTTCCTGCTCAAGCTTAAAGCCAACAGTCCTGCTCAACCCAAAAGATATCCGTAATGTCTACTTAAGAGACTACCCCACATGTAGCTCTAATGACTATTCCAACCTTACGGGCGTAAAGATCAATTATTAAACTAAATAATGTAAAAAATTGATCTCCAACAATATTACTTTCTGTGAATAATCAAAGAAACAGAAAAATTCATGTGCATGACAGCATGAGCAAATAGACAGATATTCTCAAGCTAATAACTATGAACATAGCAAATGCTATTGATTAAGATTAAGAAAGGGCACTGCATGTAGAAGTGAAGCACACATGGACGCAGCGGATAAAATTAAGTTTCTCCAAAGTAGATGGATATTCACATAAGGACGGCAAATGAATTTCAATTTCTAAGAGTGAAACTGTAAAATGGACTCAAACAAACCTCAGATTCCTCAATCTTTCCCAGAAGAACCTTCAGATCACTTGCTTTTCTCCCAGATTCTCCAAATCCTACAACGGGGTGATCTACAAGTCCTTCTTCCAACATATTTAACTGAACTGACACCAAATTAAGAAAAGGATTAAAACTTAGGTACTAAAATCTACACTCTATGAACAAATATGCATTCATAATTTTACATTAAGTAATATCACTAATCACAATTTTACGTTAAGTAATATAACTAATTGCTCAACAGCAGTGCTTCCTGATGTCTCACATCAAACCTTAAAATCCCCAACTCCGAAGAATATATATGGAGAAACACGAAAAGTAAAACAAAGAAAGTATGGGTGAAAGAGGGATGATGGCGGAAGATTTACAAAAGCAAGTAACTAATGCTCACTTGTCTTTTCTGCCATTTAATGTAAGACTTCTTGTCTGAAAATTCCGTACGTGATATGCAACATAGCAACTCCAATGGGATCAACAGAGTGTCCATTCTTTTTCCAACTTTCCCAACCATGGCGTTGAGAAGTGCTCGTCTTGTTCTGATGTCCATTTCCTCCGAAATCTGTCAACACCAAATACCAATGACAAAGCAAGCCACAAAAAGACAAAATGTCATATAACTGATGCCGTGCAATGAATATGAACTGTGTTGCAATATATGATATGATTCTGTTGAAGATGCTGAGATGTATGATATGATTCTACTGAAGATCAGATCAGATCTGATTCAATGTAAATTAGAAAAATATAATATTTTGTATAGCTAGATTAAGAGAATTTTTTTTCTATTTTCCTTCATTATAAATCTTTTTCTGCAGTATAAACACATCCCTGTGTACCATGAAAAACACACCATCTATTTTCACACAACTCTTTCTATAAAATGAAAGCCAGTGAAGGCCATTAAAACATTATAATAACAGCTGTCTTTGATTCCATGACTTTGTCAACCCAGAATAGCATAAATTCAAGCAGTACAGGAAATGGAGTTTGCTGGTGTATACTGTGTAAATATAGAATAGTATCTCTAGGAAAGTATATATACTATTTACAATTAAGGGATTTGATTAGCTCTTGGTTCCGTATATAAATAGGGCTCTCTGTACTCTTTGAATGATTGAGATGAATACAAATTCAGCTTAATAAGAGAGGGTAAATTTATGTTAGGAACAACATGAGATATTTAAATCTGTAATGTATAATCTTGAAAACAAAAATGAAAGAGAACACTTTAAGGTTAATATTAGATTTATAGATTCCGGAAGGGGTGCAATCTATCGAGGTTAAACACGCCTTTTAGAAGGTGAGCCTACGTGCAACCTGAGGTTCCATCCCAAAACCAATTGGTAATTGGAGGAGTAACCCACTTGACTTATAAACTAAGAACATTTTCCCTATAGAATCACCGTGAGGCATGATATTCCAACACGTCCCCTCACTAGTGAGCCCTTCTCTAATCGTCCCAGATCAGGCTCGTCATCACGTCCTAGATCAAGCCTGCTCTAATACCATATTAGATTTATAGATTTGAGGGAAGTGGTGCGGTCCCACGGAGGTGAAGCACACCATTAGAGGGTGAGCCTAGGTGCCACCTAAGTGAGAGTCCATCCCAAAACCAAATGATAATGGGAGGAGTAGCCCACTTGGCTTATAAACTAGTCCATTTTTCCTTTCCCTATATAACCAATGTGGGACAACTCACAAGTGATATTGTTGTGGTTAATAAATTCGGAAGCAACTTATTTAAAATATCAAAAGCTTTGTATATTAATAAGATGGCTTTACAACTTGTATGATGTCAGATTTTAATTCCAGAGTATGTCATTGACAATTGTAGATAGAACAAGATGACAAAACTTTAAGATGCTAGTAATGAATTTAATCGACAAACTTAAAGAACTTTGTTAGAGATATGCGTTTGAACGAGTTGGATAGCTATCTTCTTTCTGCAGATACAAATTAGGCCAATAAAGTAGGATACAATATGATGTACCTCCATCTGGACACGCATAGTCTCCAACAGACCAACTAAACCATGAGAATTTTGTGACTGCACAACATTTTCACTCTTACTTCGCCCTAGCTTCTTCATCAATCTAGATTTTTTATCCTTCTTTTTTTCCTTTGATGGAACAATGAGCCCCCTGTTTGTGCAACAAGAGTGCATCAAAAACAGACTATTTAATCAGATAACAGTATATAGAATACAATGGAGAACAAACAAATACCCTGAAGCTCCAGCAGCTGCAAGGAGGATCTCATAAGCAGTTTCACGGAGGTCATCATCTGTAATACCTGCAGCCAAAAATAAACAGACATGAATTAAAAGGGATGTGATTCCTTTACAATTCCAATAGACTTATAGTCAAGCCAAATGACTTCAGAATTTATAATCTATATGATATAAACTGAGAGTTGAGAACTGTCTAATGTCTACATGAACCGGAATAAATCAAATCAAACCACATGAACTGAATGCATTCAAAAGCAACAAGCTAAAAACAAAAGCAGGAGCTGACTAGTTCGAATCCATTCATAAGGCTTCCAATATTCAGAATCATGAGCAGGAAACAAATAAGATGAGGACAAGTATTCAACAATACAAAACCAAAAAATGGGAGAACAATAAAAGAAAAGATGATAAGAAACCACATATACCAGTAGCAAACAAAGGCAATCCCAAAACGACATCAGATGCATCGTTCAGAACTCTCCTGGAATATCTACGGCTTTCATCCTCCTCCAGAATGTCATCTTCAAAATCATCAATGTCATCCACGGTTAGTTCCTTAAACTGTGTAGAGCTAAGTGACTGGGAATTGGACAAGCTTGGTGATTCCTCAGCTTGTTCACTCTCAAAAGGTTCTGAAACCGAAAGGCTCGACAAAATTGGTGTTGGGGCCACAGCAGGGACAGACGGGGGTGCCCTTCGTGGAGGAGAACCTGAAGATTCAGGATTTGTGACTAGAAAGAATTCATCTGAGGAACCTGCATTATTCTTTTTTGAAGTAACAGCAAAAAGTTAAAAGAGAATACCATTTTGTTATTATACTCCTCTGTACAAATTTAACATAATGCAAAACGAAGTTGAAGTGTTAAAAGATTGAAAGGTAATAATTTGGTTCCACGTGTGCAAAGATGCCAGTAATAAGAAAGATACGTCATATCATCAACGAGCAAACTGAAATAATCTGCGAAAACAAAGAGGTTAATGTGCTTTGTGATTCAGTAAAAAATCGATCTTTACCATGCTGGGGAAAAAAGTGCCATCATGATAGTGCCGAATAGCCTCTGAGAGTTCAAGTATATCACCTACATTTACAAGTACCAAAACAGGAAATCAATATCGCTTGTCATGTTTGCTATTCAACTTTTACTTAATAATGACAAAGGAGGAGAACTAAACTATCCAAAGTTATCACCTTTCTTGGCACAGTTGAGGACATAATCAACACTGACTTGATCCAGATCCACATCATCCAATGACACAGCACCTGGTGGCATTACAACCTTCTTTATCAAGCTACCAGAAAGTATGAAATCTAGGAGAATCCGCCTGTCCCGTCGATATCTTTGCAAAAGTTCAACTTCACTGTCCCTGCATTTAGTAAGATAACAACTCTTGGCTTTTAATTAAAAGATCACATAATATCTATATTGATTGAAGCTTTAAATCAATAACAACCACGTCATGTTGACTGGAATATACTGAGAATCAATCTACTAACTAAGAATCTGCAATCAGAGTTCCAGATAAAGTAAAATTGAGTCAACCGCTAGTGAAAATTGGCAATTAAACATGCAGCAGCATACATTGACATGAGGTAAAGAAAGATCTACAATTATGAAATCGCTTACTCATCCATGGCGAATTGGAAGAAATATCCTTCAAGAACTCAGCAGCTGAAGCTCGACAGTCACGAGATTCCAAAACGAAATCTTTGCAATGAATGAGCAACTCTAACAGTAGATTCGAGTCAAGTTTTTCAGGTTCTTCAAATACTGACGAATGAGCAAACGTTTATCAAGTGAAAGAGCAGCGTCTTGAGATAAATTCTTGAAATGGGAAAGTGAAAAGGTCGATCATTGGACAGAATGGAGATTAAATGGAAATGGAACAGCACTCCAGATGTGAATGCTTTGGCTTTATCAGTTCACAAATGCAAACATACAGAATTTGACGCGAGTTGCCAGTCAGATAAATAAGTAGCGTACGAATTCGAAGATGCATATATATGGACAAGTTGATGAAATTGCAAATTTAATCCACACGATACGAGAGTGCAAAATTGGTAGGAGAGAGTGTACATTTGGTCCTTCCAAGTTTTTGACAATTGCAAAATAAACCATAGTCTTTCGCATTTTGACAATCCCTCCCATATATAATTTTTGAATATGTTCAGTCAAAGTGATATACTCGCACACTTCAGAATTCTATGTGTCAAATTTTTAAGTTTTGTTGTTTAGCTTGCATGAATTTTCATCATGGTCAACCGCTGCCTCCGCCGCCCGTCGTCGACGTACGCCGCCGCAGGCCAACCACCTTCGATCGAATTCTTTTTTAATATCATCTTGAAGCTCTTCTCGTCATCATCCACCTCTTAAAATTTCAAAACGAAAAATCCACCGATAAAGCCATCAATTGCTCCGCTCAAAATTTTAGATCCATAAAATTCCAATCTTCTTCTTCGATTTTTTAGCGATTTACGACGACCCACTGAAATTCTTGGGCACCTTCATACTCTCGCGTCGTCACGCACCATGAATGACCAAGGTTATT